TGCATGCTGCTCCTGAAGGCTCAGCGATGCGTTGTGCAGCATGCTGTCCCTCGGACTCTGTGAAGGCTGATCGGGCATTGGAAGCGTGGCCGCCGACGATCCAGAGGATGTCTGAGGTTGTCCCTGTTTCTGGATGCCATTGTTTACTTGGTGATCTTCTGTTGGTTTTGTTGATGGATTCGAAGGAAGCACGTCGTCTTTTTGGTCATCGTCTGAATCTCCAAATGCAGGTTCAGTATCTTGAGCAAAAGAAACAAAGAAAGCACATCAGTTTTCTCTCATCAATAGAACAAGTTACAGAAAATCTTCCTTAAATGTTGACAAGTCACCTTCTGATGGAGGTACTTCATATTGCACATCAAAGGGAGGCTGTGACGAGTCGCCTGCAATATTAAAATTAATTAGTATTTACGCCACGTCAAGAGGCTCTCAGTGAAGATATTAAAATCAACTGTAAAACAAAGTGAGGGCCACATGTCATCGTGTCGGCTACCTGACTGAGCAGGTCCGCTCACTGCGTAGGAAGATGGAGGAGGCATAGACGTCGTTTCCAAGCCGCCGTTGGGAGAACTCTGCATTCCCATCACATCCTCCTCTTCCATTTCTTCCTCCTCCTCCGGCACATCATCATCATCTCCCAGTGGACCAAAGTCACCGGTGCTCTGGTCTTCCTCGTCCATCTCCAGAATCTGGAGCACAATTTTCTCTGTTTGATTAAGGTCTCGGGAAAGGCGTGAGTTGAGGCCTCGGTTGGGCACCGTCCCAGACCGCATGGCAGCCACTTTACGCTTGGTGTCACACTTCAGGTCAGACCACTTCTTGATGACCTCTATGACTTCACGTTGGCACTCCCCGATCTCATTGACGCGTGCAGTAATCTCTGCCCAGGTGCGTTTCTTGATGTCGGTTGGCACACCACGGTTGAATTTGCCTTTGGGGGATAAAATAATGTTGAACTTATACATGAGTCTACAAACATTACAGCATCAGTTTGATCATTTACACATTTCCTGTCATTTCCCTTCAATGCCTAAACTTCTCTATTTCCTCTACTGGCCTTTGTTGACTTTATTTTTTTGATTAACCAGCTACTTTGCAATCATTTATTAACTTTCCAGACACAAAGTCTCACAGCTCAGCCTCATCATTTATCGGTGCAATAAATCGTTCTGAATGAGTCACATACCCACAACCACCATCCGATGCTTCCTCACTTCATCCAGCAGTATGTGCACTTCGCTGAAAGAGAAACGAGCTTTTCTTTTCTTGAAGCGTGTAACACTGTCTTGATTATAGTATATTGGTGAAGACATCCTTCACACACAGTGTTGATAGATGTCCAGCTGCTGTGTGGTCTGGTGCTGTGCTTCCACGTCTCCAGCTGTCTGTTAAAAGGATCAAGAGTTGGACAAAGACAAACTACTTTCATATCAAATGCGATGATATAACAGAGGAACACTCTAAGAAGTCTGACTCGTCAATGTCAAACTTCATGTGAATGACATGAGAACACGCTACTGTACCGGCAGCAGCTGCACCACATGCGGCTGCTTCTCACAGGCTGAGTGACACATCATTAAAACATCTCTGAATACAACAATTATGTTGACAAAGCCTGTTGTACATATGGCACGCACACAGCCATACTCACTGCTTTGTGATTTACTGTCAGTCTCGTATAGCTTTTATTTAGTCTTTGTTTGTTTTTGGTTTTCTTTTGTAATTACATCATTCACGATGCTTTGGGGATGCTATTAGCCTGATATTCAAACCAATGAAACATTACAGATTGTAGGTGTGGATGCACGTGTGTGTGGTGAATCTTGTGTCATGAACTGAGCTGTGGCTGGTGTTTGACACTGAGATGAGGAGTTATACACAAACAGCTGACATGCAGGACGCTCAGGCTGGTAGTACTGACAGAGTGAAACTCAACAGCTGAGCAATGTGGCTTGTCTAGTTAGCGGATTAGCTAAACTGATCATCAATGAGTGTAACGTAGCTACCTGCACAGGTCTCACGGCTAAGCAGGTAAATGCTGCATAGCGTTACTATCACACTGCTAGCACTGGAAGAGTGAATGAACAATGGCCGATGCTGTGGTCACTTTGCACATGCGACAGCTTAGTTAGCTGGCCACATCCACAGCACTCATTGTTCCTCTCAGAACACACTTTTAAGTACAATGCCCTCATTATTTTAACGCGCAATGACTATTTCACTCCCCCCATGCAGTGCAACACACACTTAGCTAGCTTTAGTCTAATGTTACACAACAACACCCACTAGGTTAGCTAGCTCGCTCTGCAGCAAGCTAACGCTGCGTTCACAAATGGCTAATGAAGCACTTAGTTCACCTAACCTCACTTCAAGAGCTATACTTTAATGACAAGAATAGCTACTGAGGTGGTGAACATACCCGCAAGTTTCAGAAGTTGGGATTTGGTCCAGAAACGTGAAGATAAACTTCCTTATCGACAAGATAGCAATTGTCAAGCTAGCCGGAATGACGCTAACACCACACAAACTGTATCCGGTTAAAATCAGTCAGCTCACGAAGTAAAGCAGGACGCTACACATCATTATTACTTTAGTATGCCAGTACTGCGTTGTCTATTAGTGCTAGTTTAACATATAACTCATGACAATCACCGCAAATATTGTGGTGATTTTTCTATTTAAGGTTCTTTCATTTTAGCTCATAAGTTGAAGTTATTAGTCTTTTATTTTGAAAGAGCCCGCCGACTTTTACTTTCGTGGGCTGCCTTAACTTAAATATCAACAAAAGCACGCTCACACACGAAGGAAACGTGGATGATTAACCAAGGAGCACTAGTGTGAGCTTCTCTAAAGCTCTGGCTGCTTCTAGAGGAGCGCGTTTGGATTTTAATCCGCTGTGACTCCAAATGTGTGTTTTGGATCCTTCAGTATCGATTAGATCTTTTAATTTAAAAATAACACACACACTATATGTCATAATAGAAATCAGATATATTGAAATTGAAAGTTCCAGCCACACTTAATTGCATCCACAATGTTTATTACATAATTTAAAGAATATTCTCCAAATTGAAAACATAAGCTGCCTGGTGGTCCCTGTATATGTTTAGGACACTGTGATTCAGTTGCTCACCATCATATCATTTTGAATTGAATTTGTTTTAAAATTTTGAAATTTGAAAATTGAAAAAATTTGGAAAAAACAATTGAATTTCCCTGTGGGATAAATAAAGTATTTTTCATTTCATCACATGAGAAAACTGTACAGTATCCACCAGAAGTGAGTACGCCCCTCTGGAAGTCACTAAAAATGTTCAATGATCCTCAGTCGCATCACATCTCAAACACTGAATTGTTTCTAAGTTGAAAAGTTTAAAATTTCTCCTCTTGTGAAAAGTCAAAAACAAAAACTTTACAAAGACTACGTTGAAAATTCAGGCTCCAAAGTAGAAACTGAATGCAAGAAAAGTGAACAGACCTGTGATCACTGAAACACAACTGAGTCCACCTCTGATGTCCAGTTCGCACATCGACTTCAACATGATCTGTGTTCACCAGGAGTCTCTCAGTTTGGACCGTCGGCCTGCGTCCATGCTCTAAATGTCTGCACCGTGGCTCTATGTGGAAAAGAGTCACCAGAGGAATTTAAAAATCTGATTTTACAAAATTAGAAAAGGATAAAGGAAGATCAGCGTACAGCTAACATGTAGTGGTGCACAAGGTACAGAATGAGTCACAGCAGCACTAATCAGAGCTGCAGTGGTCGTCTTCCTGTACTGACGGTACAGAGTCGGCTATATTCACAATTCAGCTCAGAAAAGCCAACAGGCAGGTCCTTCAGACTTGGCACAGGCCTTATCAGTGGAATTCAGAGTTCCTTTATTGGCTCAGAAAG